TGGTGATACAGCAACTTACTTGTTGCAGCGTACATGTCCGGCGCCAGATTATGCTCGTCGAAAAGTACAATGAGGTTGACACTATGTTCCAATATCAGCCACTCCCGACACACCACTCCTCTTTAAGCGCACTCACACTATGCCGAACAGTATACACACCCCAAACACTAGAACTCGACTGAGTAGCTGAATATCCACACCGCCTGGGATCCCTGCTTTCCTCATGCCTGTCCAGTTTCGGCGTAAGATGATGGCGAGATATACTAGCAACAGATCAAATCACTGTAGAAGAAGATTCGCCCAGACATACTTTGTAGAGCAATAATTGCGATGCACATGACAAAAGTAAACAGGATCATTGTGTTGGCTCTTCAAACCCGGTAAGCATCGTGCCTTTCTGAGTATGATGTACACTTACAGTGCATCACACTTCAAGGCGCAATAGAAAAAGCGTCGATGGCGATTCACCAAGTTGGGATGTGAAACAGAGATTGCGAGGTTGCTGATGGTGAAAATCAGTTGCACCGTGTATGGTGCGACGAGCATCTGCATGCCTAAATCAGAGATGCCTTTCAAACCCCCCTTGCTATGCGCACCCCGATCATCCTCGGCTTGCTCACTTCGGAACCCGTCGAAATAACGACCATATGGTATACCAATGCCAAAATGGCGACCGACCACCTTGGACGTATCAGATAGGATCATGCCTCTCGCGGACGAACGTACATTGGCGTTATTCCATACAGCAAGGCTGTCTGGGCGATACAGAGGCTCTTCGTCGGCTCCGGTGTATCAGGCTTATATTCGCCAGCGTAGAACAGGAGCAAGGAGAAAATGCCAGAGAGTATCCATGTCATGCATACGTTGATCACAGTGGGATGACGCTTCGCACGTTTGGACACCAGGAGAACGACAACGAGGAGGGGGAGCAGAATAGTGTTGGAGACGAGATTGAAATAGATCCAGACATTGAGCAAGACACCCGAGCGCGATCCCATATCATGCTGGTTTACCCCTGCAGCGGCATTCAGCGGAGGACGACGACGATTAGGTCGCAGACATACTTGGAATAAGGGGAGCCATGACGACGGACGCTCGACGTCGGGAGGGTGGGATTCTGGCCTGCAGAAGTACAGAATGGTGCACAGAGATATCCAGCCCGCGGATATCTCAAGTGAGGGTGAGGGTTTATATGGCGAGGTACACGAGGAGAGAGAGTACTGTGGGATCCATCACGTCCGGACTGATATCGACAGCCGGCATCGATTGCGCGGGCTCTACGAAACCATCAGATCGCGACAGCTCGAAGACGTTCGCATCGCCCTCCAGCAATCCTGTGGTTTACTACTACTGTTTCGTGGCGGGATGGTGCACTGTTTCGTTGTAGTATGACTCGTGCCTGGGCCGAACGTTTAACTGGTGGTGTTCGCACTCGAGACGCACTCGAGAACGAAACCAAGGATCCATTTACGACGCACCGGGAGAGCGACCCGATTGTATGACTGATCTCATCATTGCCTGACAGGTGCACGCCGAAGCCATGATTAATGCTACGCTGAGACGATGTACATCATGTACGTATATTCTCATGCTAAAGCTCGCTGTACGCGGTCATACGCCTCATCCTAGTTCGAATCACTCGTTGCTGTTCTGGTAGACGCACATTCGAAGCTGTAGGCTGTTTGCTGTCACGGTCATTCAGATGATTGGAACAGTGCATGACTCTGAGCTTCGTGCGATTCATCTCAGTACGGGCACATGTACGGCTTCACTGCCTTACCGGCTGTTGAAGCGCTGAAGTCCCTATTTACAATCCTACACGCATACATATAAATCAGTGCACAACGACAAGGGAAATCAAAGCGAAATGTTTAACGTTGCTATAACTCGGAAATAGTGATTAGTATACACGTGCTCATGAGGCTCCAGTGAAGCTCATCGATCTGCAGACTCCTTCCCATTCGCTCTTACGCCCAGCAGAATAATCCTAAATCCCTGTACAGTAAGATGTGGCGTAAAATATATTTGGTTTGAACGCGAATTGAACCCTCGATCGAAATATTGATGCTTATATAAGTACTCCAAACCTTAATTATTCTGCTAGGGCGTAAGAGCGACTGGCATAACTTGTCGGCCGGTGCGTGCTTTGTTTGGTTCTCCCTGGGTCCTCGCACTTGCACTCTCGACACCTGCTGCTGCTACATGAACTTTCATTTTCTTGTCAACGCGGCCGCAAAGTATCCCGAACTCAGCAGAAATTGGCGGCTGCAAGTCATTAGGGTGCTGTGGAGGGAGCGAGGAGGATTATGAAGAGTGCTAAGAGGATGACGATGAAGACCACGACGGCGACGGCGAATACGTTGTGCACCGCACTTGTGGCAAATCTGCAGGATCCAAGCCCAGTACACGGACTCGAGAGCGATACACCCCGTATGCATACCCTTCGTTCGGTTACTCTCAGGACAACGCCCTGGGTATCAGCACCCGTTCACATCGTACCGTCTCCAACGCCACGGACGCGTCATCGCCATCCTTATCAGACCTAAAAAATATCCACCACCTCCACTCCAAGGTTGAGCCTTGCCGTATACCTACATTTATGATTTCTCGTATCTCCTTCGTTTTGCTGCTGTAACAGCCTACTCCTTCACATGCAATGAACTATTATCATTGAAAAAATGCCACCACATGAATTTTGAGAATACACCGAAGCCGGTAATAGTACTGCGCCACTGTCCGTAGTGCACTTGAGCCTACTTGAGCCTTTGAGGGAATACATCAGACGATGCAGCCAAACAAACAAACCTTGCAAGTTATGCCAGTCGCTCTTACGCCCTAGCTAAATAATTAAGGTTTGATGGGAGAGCTAAGATAAGGGAGATAAGAGATAACAAGTAGATTAGATCAAAATGTATTCGTAATCTATTCCAGATCCTTCCATCCACCCGCCCAAGGAAGTGAGATTATTTTGCTGGGCGTAAGAGCGAATGGGAAGGAGTCTGATCGATCTGTTTTATCTTTGCCTTGGACCATCATGATCTCTCCATCAATCTTTGAACGTGTCGTTCGAATCATCGAGCAAGGCGTCAATGTCTCCCGAACTTCACATGAAAGGAAAAAGAGGTTCGCGACGGACTTGGCCTTGGTTGTATTGTCTATTCGGTAAATATTCAAGCTGCTTTCTGGCGGGTTAATTTTTGTTCTCATCCAAGATAACAGCACTGCGTATCTCGTCGATGCGGTCTCTATGGACTTTGACACTCTTCTCATCAATCTGCGGGCTGTATGTGTCGCGATGCAACTACCACGGACCGAACAAAGTCGCTGACTCTGCGACTGCGTCTTAGAAGGATCCCTTATTTTCCGACATTGTTCATCTTTATGATCCCGCCTCTGATCAGTCGTTCTTCGTCAACGTTTCGCTCTTTCTGGCACAAGACTATGTAGAGGAGACGACTTTCATAGCGGCTAGCTCACCCCCGAGGATCGTCCAGCCATCTGAGCGGCTCTGTAAAACGTGGAGAATGCTGAGAGAGACAATCGACAGCAGCTCGACAACTTTCAGGCTACCGGATGCATTATCACCGTGTGTCACTGTTCCCCTTGCAGCTCTACTGCTGGAGTATCCTGTGGCATACGTTCCCGAGGCAGGACCTGGACCGATGCATGTTACGTTGCAGGTGTACGAATGTTCTATAACCTTACCGACGGGTTTAGCTGGCATTGGGGTGGTGAAATTCTCTTGTCCGCAAGGTATCGTTGAAACGGTGGACTGCGAGAGACTTCGGGATCGCTATGAGGCGCGTGGCGTCGGCATGCATGTTCGTAAAATGACGGAGGTGGTCGATAAATTGGCGCTATAAATCGTCCAACTCATCGTGTTATGACTCACAGGGAGGCTCTCTCTGATCCCGGAGGACTTCCGCGATTGTTACAAAAGTGGGGTCATTCATTCAACCGAGTTGAGCTATGAATACTCATGATTGTTACTGATTGTAGGGCGTATCACAATGGGCTCGATGCCTTGGCCTCAGCCTCGAGGAACCCTTTGATGAAACCACTATCCATGAACTCCGCGATCTTCTTGATCTTCCCGTCCTCCTCGGTGACGACGAAAATATACTCGTTGTGCCATGGGGTTCCCAGCTTCGAAGTGCCGCCGGATGTCACCTATGTTGAAATGTCATAATGAGCGTCGAAGAGAACTTGTGCGCTGCAGCCTACATGGGCGATAATCGTGTCTCCCGACACCGTCTCGTGGACGTCCTGTATAGTGAACTATGATGTTCGCATTAGGTCCTCATCGACGGGCAGTACATCTATGGTAACTCACTTTCAGCGCATTGGGCGTGAACCACTGGTTTATGCTGCCTTTGAGCGCAGCGGCGTATTCGTCTTTCCTAAGGGAAGGACGATTCGTTGAAGCCGGCAGGACGTTTATCACAAAATCTTGTGTGAAGAGGGACACCGAGGTATCCCAGTCCAGCGCGGAAGCGGCGGTGAGGTAGGTCTGCAAGAGGGCTGTGGCGGGATGCATGCTGAGGTATGGGTCGGAAAGTTTTCAGGCCTTTTAAGTAGTATCCGACTTCCAGACTCGATGAGTAATGCCGGCGTGGTAACGCGTACAAGAGGTACTTTGGGTGGGACATAGGAGGTGGTTTCTCAAAGTCTTCGCTTAGTGGAGCAATGTTCAGCAACATAGCCATATGAGAGATCCGTTTGGGGTACGAGTTGATGTGGGGAAAGCGACAAGAACTTGACCAAAGACCAGCTTCTCGAGCTCAATGTCGTCAGAGCGCCATTTGTTCTGGGGATATGCCGTAGGATTTATAAGGCTTACTGGTAATCCTTGTGAAGTGTGGCGTACGCGTCCTATCTCGGAAGGGGTGTCTCAGCTTGGTGATAGTTGGAGAATGCTCATGGGATTAGTCATATTTCACGTACCAAATCAAATGTACAAGTGAGGATGTTTGTGATGGTCTTAAAAATTCCCAAAGCATGCCTCCTTAGCTCAGTGGTAGAGCGCGTCACTTGTAATGACGAGGTCAGTCGTTCAATCCGGCTAGGTGGCATAAGGAACCGCGAGATGATTATTTTTCCCCCGAATCTGTGGGGTGTTAGAAATCAGTTAAAAGTTTTAGGGACCCAGGGTGGCCGTGGCGCAGTACTGAGTAGGTAGGGTGTTATATCAATACCGACTCCCCAGGAGGCCCTTAGGCCCTAGTTTTGAAACCGTTAGCAACCGGCATGTGCTTTGACCACATGATGGGGCGCAGCGGCGCGCCGTCCTGATCCCGCCTTTGTCCCGCCACTCTCAGGCTTCATCCAGCTCTAAAGCTTGGAGTTACGAGTAATACGGTCGGCGTGTGGAGACATCCATGGCAGTCGGGACCCGAGGTCATGGACCTTGGCTTACAATACTTATGTGCGCAGAGGTATAGTCCAACCAACACCGCTGCAGGGCGTTTTTGTATTGGTGAGTCACATTCTCCTGATCTGTTACGCCGATGTAGATCCGAGGAGGAGAGATGACTGGGCCGACATTCTTCACGTAACTCTCAATGAAGGCCAAATATTATATCAAGGCACTGCTACAAGGGCTTAGAACATGGGAAGGGAGAGACATGATCATCATGATGCGCGTCCAAACGTCGAGATCCGGATGATGAACTGAGATATGATTGCGGGGTTCGACGGTGCTCCCAGGTGCAAGTTCCCGCGGCGAGGCTCCAGCGAAAGAGCCTGGGTGACCGTCCTCCAAATTTGGACACGAAACATATTTTAGTGTTAGAAGACATACGTGGTTAGCGCTGATTCTAGTTCCCGAATCCCGATGAACACGGGGACAGGTTGAAGATATCTTGAGGGATCAGAACATGGATAGAGTTGAGTGAATGAAAAACAGAGCGAACGTTCCCGTCATATCTTCTACCTCGTTCGAAATCTTTTGCGATGCGATGCGATGATTGATTGATGGTTGCCAACAAGGAAGAGAAGCGAGCCGTGGACATCAGGAAAACGAACCCACAAGCAGACTTACGTCTTGATACCGGAGAGAAAGCACGTCAATAGCGCCACACGCGCACTGTGGAAGACCAAAAAGAACAGGAACAAGCAGAGTTGCAAGGGGGGAGTTTCTGAAAGGTACATTCCCGGCGTCTACTTTGCAAATAACCATGGCAGTGACTGGAAGCACGACGTGAAACTGACTAGTGCGAGTACTGGGACGAAGGATACCCGCGTAGGAGCAGCGCTAGCCTGAAGGGTATAGGGCAAGACGCGACAGGCAGAATTTTTAGATGGGTGGCGTCGTGGTACATATACAAGATGGCAGTTCCGACTGCGAGCCCGATGACGACTGGTAGTAATACAAGCGCGGGAGAAGGACCCAGATTACTAGCTCCATAAAAAATGGCAAGGCCTCGTCCGCGATAGATTCTGTCTGACTATTGGGGAAGAGGAGGAGTGGACGAAGTGGTGACCGATTTGGTCGGTACCGTTATCCCCACAGTGTTCCTGTGGCGAATTAGACGCGTTAAGCAGGCGAGAATGGACGCGTCAAGAGCATCGGAGGACCGGTCCGGGTGAAGATCCATTACCTTTTGGCGTTCACGATGAAAGACATGTCCAATCGCGGGCGGCGTTGTAGTCTCGGGCGGGGCACGGCATGGCAGGGAGTCTCAGCGACGCTCAAAACGGAAATTACCTAACGCCTCTGTAACGCCGGCGCTTCGATTTGCGAGGCGTGGCCGTTATGAATTGATGGCTTGCTTCTCTTCTCTGTCGTCAAGCTTTCGTTCCTATCTTTTCACCTCCATCTTCTCTATAAAATCCGCGTTTCTGTTAGGCGACATCTCCCAGCGCGTCTTGCACCGATAATGTTCTCTGCCACCGCCCTCGCCGTTGGTGGCGTCCTACTCCTATCGACGGTATTCCTCGTTGTTCACTTGACGCGGAAACGCGACCTGCCGCCTGGGCCGACGCCTATACCGCTCCTGGGAAACATCCCAGATCTCATGGCCGTGGCTGGTGTGAACGTGTACCAAGATGCTGATCCGTCACCCCGAACATCCCCGACACCCTCTAGCGCTCAGTCGGGCTCCTCTGGCACGCCCATGCACGTACTAATCACCCGCTGGGCTAAGTCCTATGGCCCTGTCATCCACATACACGTCCTATCGCAGCCTCTGATATTCCTCTCCTCTCCCCAAGCCGTGTCGGATCTTCTAGACAAACGCGGCGCGATCTACAGCGATAAACCCCACATGCTCATGGCCGGTGAGCTCTGCGGCTGCCAGAACATGGTCGCCTTCACTCCATATAGCGGACAATCTAAACGCCAGCGTCGCCTTCTCACTTCCGCCTTTGGCGTTCGAGCCATCCCCAAGTACGAACCGCTTATTCAACGCAGTACATTGCAGTTTCTCCAGGAAATCCTGAGCGGTAGCATTGGATACGATCGCGTGAGGGCACTCACTCAGCGATATGCCGGCGGGCTAACGCTCGCGGTCGTGTATGGATACGAGCCTGTGCCTCTTGGAATAGAAGACGGCGGCAAGGATCCAGACCCATTCATCCGGCTTGCTTCAGAATGTGTCGATATTCTTCAGAATGAGATCGCGTCTGGCGGTGGGATTTGGGCGGTTGATGTGCTGCCTTGGTTACAGCACTTGCCGCTCGAGAGTATTCCTGTCCTAAGCTACCTCCCGGGTCTGAGCTTCCAGCGGAAAGCAAAGGTTTGGAAAGCCAAGATGGAGGAGTTCGTCGAGGGACCTTGGTCATTTGTCAAGTCAGCAGTGGTAAGGCTCATCGTTTTCGATCCATCAGTTAGGCTAACTTGATCTGCAGAGATCCGGTAGTTTCTCACCCAGTTTCTGTTCACTTCTCCTGGAAGAACGGGAAAAGGATGCACTCAAGAACGATGACACGTTTACGCACGACCTCAAGTGGACCGCAAATAGCATGTATTCTGCGAGCGGCGATACCGTGAGTTCCTAGTAGCACGCAAAGCTAGACGCTTACCATTCGCAGACGGTCTCCCTCATGCTTTCATTTCTCCTCGCCATCTCCATGCATCCCGAGTGCGTCGCGATTGCGCAAAAAGAGATTGACAGCGTGACGCGAGGCGCACGTCTTCCAACTCTGGCCGATAGGGATCACCTGCCGTACAGTAAGTCCACTATTATGTCTTGACTGTCCTCGCCTGGCACTAAACCGATACTGCTGTAGTATCTGCCATTTACACAGAGACCCTGCGCTGGGGCTGTCCGGTTCCGCTCTGCCTGCCACATCGCCTCATGGAGGAGGATGTGTATGAAGGAATGCGGATACCTCAAGGAAGCTTGGTGATAGGCAACATATGGGCAATTTTGCGTGACGAGACGATGTATCCGGATCCGCATGCGTTCAAGCCTGAGCGGTGGTTCACTGACAAGAAGGAAGAGGATGAAGATGAAAAGCGCCGGGATCCCCGGAATTACGTGTTTGGCTTTGGAAGGAGGTAGGCGTAAAACTTTCCTTCTATGATAGTGCTCATTCTGACCTGCGGCTCAGGCGATGTCCTGGGGCACATTTGGTCGAATCCTCGGCGTGGCTGCTTATCGCGGGTACATTGGCGACCTTCAATATTAGTCGCGAAGGGAAGGAGGCCAAGTGGGAAGGAGGCGTGTTCCGAACGCCAGCGCCATTCGAGTTCTCTATGACCCCTCGTTCAGACGCAGCTGTTGGCATTGTCCGACAAGGTGTTTTATGATATACGTGAGTCGCGACGATTTGTTGGAACGCTTTTTGGATTAGGAATCTTGACTCTGTGTTGCGCGCAACAACGCGGAGATGTATCTTAAAGTTATTCTGTAAATTAGCAGCTTAGTATTTGTCGTTCCGATATCGGCTACTTACAAGCTGGTGGTGTAAGCGAGGCGTGGTGTGGTGAGTGAGCAAGGGGGACGCCGAAGCGGGCGAGTAAGCCAAATTAGATCGTCATGTGATCCTGTGTTGCTGTGATCTGCGGTGAGGCTGAGCATATATAACGCAATCTCCAGCATCGATACTATCTCGCCTTTCCCGCCATTACCAGCTACTTTGTGCCCACCACGGCCTCTTCATCCTCGCCCTCCAAAGCCCAGCAGTATCTAATGTCTGTCAAGGAATTCGTTGAGGTCCGTACTACCTGCTTCAAGCTCGTCGTAGCCGGCGATGTTGACGTGTCATTCTGGTAGGATACCATCTCCTCGAGCAAGATTACTGTGTTCTCCAAGACCCATTGCCCGTACTGCAGACGCGCCAAGGCGCTCTTTGCGGACAAGTATCCCGATGCTGACATCAAGATTGTCGAGTGCGTTGCCCGCCCTTATCAGCATCATCAACAACTCATATTTTGGGTGTAGAATTGATCAACGCGACGATACCAGTGCGATCCAGGACTACTTGCAGTCCAAGACCGGCCAGAGGACGGTGCCCAATGTCTTTATCAGTGCGTACTACTCTTATCAGGCAGCTTAATCATAAGCTGATGTTCGTTACTGCAGACCAAGAGCACATTGGCGGATGCGACGCCACGCTTTCGCTTGAAAGCCAGGGAAAGCTGTCTACATTGATCAGCGCCTAGACGAAGACCCGTTTCCTGTACTATAACCGTTTGCAAGAATCGAATCAAGATGTTGTATTATCCCACGCGTCAAGGCTCGCATCGTTGTCATACAGACCGTCTTTATACATACGGAGATCAAGCCTCTATACGCGACTCGGAATCATTTGGGTAAAATTCAAATAGGTCGCGTCTGCTCGCGTCCGCTTGCGTCCACCAGGAACGTAAAGGCCCAGGCTAAATAATAGCGCTGATATATTACTGTCACGGAGACTCACGGTGGGAGCTGCTACGGAAACACCATCATCAGCATGTCAGAGAGCCCTTACTTATGATTTACAAAGCAAATGGTCCAACATTATTTCAACTCCGCACATCCGCACACTCTCTTTCTTTCCATCACTGACAGTGTGTTTGGGTGCAGGTAAGCGATGCTATCTTGATTGCTGCCCATCTTGTAACAAATCTGCAGTCGACAAATCATGC